GTGATCACCTCCACCGCCATGTGCAAAATGTTTAGCTTGGTCTGCGCCTTATCATTCTTACAATGGATCATACACATACGACCTAATTCCTTAAATGCTTCATTTATATCACGAACTCGTATTCTGAAAGGCAAAACCGTAAATGTCATCATCATTGATTACCAGAGGGATTTCATATGTGAAAAGTGCCGTTGCTGCACTGATGAAATGGTGAAGCGCGTAAAGAGTTCAGAATACAACTTGCATGAAGTGAAAGAGCAGCCCCTTCATATCTGGGTTATTTGGTAGTAACAATTAATGAGCACATTTACGGTTTCCAAGCCTACTCTAGATAACATCTAAGTAGTAGAATGCCTCCTTAACTAAAATATAAGGACATAAATCTGTAAGCGAAATATTTATATTAATGAAGAAACACACAGTCATCTGTACGTAAGAAAAAATAGGACGTAAACACCCAATATGAAGGGGAAATTATGCAAAATAAGCAAAAGCCAAGAAATAAAAATTAAAAGAACTACTATAACTTACATTACTATCACTGGATCAACAAAATGTACATAAAAAGAAATACAGGAATTATTTATAAAAAGTAATGTGCATCACTGACATTTAATGCAAAACTCTAGTCATTTGACATTTTTTAAAAGTTTCTTTGAAAAATTATAATTAAAAAAAAAGTCATATAAAAAACTAGTCAGCTTTCATTCACTCAATCTCTTCTGGAGTCAACAACCATGCAAATCACTCAGAATTACAGTAAATTATTTTACCAATAAACATTTATAATGCTATAAAAGTCCTATGAACTTGACTTAAAAAAATGTGTATGTATATATATATAAAACAAACTAAAAAAAGTCCTTTATAAATTCAAAATTTTCTTCCTTCTTTGGGATACAAGTACCTAAAAAGCTACTACTACCTCTGACACATATAATCAATATTTTTCATAGAAGGCTAATCAGAGGTAGTGCTGCATAAAGCAACACACTTGAGGAAAAGCGTTTCAACACCCTACAGCTTTATCAAGAAATAAAGATATAAATAAATCAACTGATTCTCTAACTAAAAGAAAAAAAATTACCCACCTTTCCCTGGCATTATTAGCTTGACGTCGTTCCTTCTCCCTCAGTGCTTTAGTCTCTGGATCTGTACATTCCTCATCCTCCGTGCTGGAACCAGAACTATTGACCATTAATAATATTAGTTTACATAAAATCTTGAATTAAAAAATAAACTTAATTTCTTAACATCATGTTATCAACTTTGACCACTTCTTCAATATTTTGAATTTGGACGATCATTGCAATTAAACCATTTCATTATTTCAAATGCTAACTATGGCAATTATGCTACAATCTAAGTTATCTCATACTAACGTAAGTGCTCCCTCAAAGTGTTAGTATGCCTACTAGATAATGAACTTCAATTATGAATTTCATTATCATTTTTGATAATGTAGTCCCCATCACCACCCACAGACATGTAATTCTTTGACATAACTGTGTTTCTGATTCTACATTTTATGATTTTCTTTAGAATAGTTTCTCATGCTAAACCAATACACTCGACTCACTGCAGAGCCGAAGTCGGAAGTCCAAGCAGGGGTGGGCCATGTGGTTTCAGAGGGTGAGGCAAGCTGGACTGGGATAGACTAAAAAGGGAAATGTTTCAGTGTAACAAAACATTTTTTCTCTCTCTCTTAGAATTCAATTATATCAGACATTGCATGAAAGTAATGCATATTTTCTTTACATGCAATTTCAAAAGAAGCATTTTCTGCTATTGCTACTATAAAGGGGCATGAAAACATCTGTCTTTGCAAAGGCCCAGCACTGCTCGACATCATGTAATGGTAATGAGCAGAGCAACTACAAAAAGTCATGTGATATTGGATGTGTACAAACTTAGCTCAACAGTCACACAAAATACCATATGAGGGCAAGAAAAGATGTAGGGTAATAGTGGGAAGTAGGGAAGGCAGAAAGGAAGGGCAAGAGATAGAGAAACAGATTAACCCCAAATGATATTTCAGTACTATCCGACTTAGTTTGTGTCCAACTCAACACGTACGAACAAAAAATGTCAGTACCTGCGAGAGCGTTTGCCACCTTTGGCTCCTGCAGGCATAGAACCTGCTACTGTAGTGGTGGGTAAATGGGAGCTGGTGAGGTCCTCTGATTTTATCTCCACTTTCTCCTTCACATCTAAGCCTGAGAGAAATTTGAAAAAGGGTTAGGATATACATTTAATTCGATGAAGCCCAACTTTCAAAGAGGAAGTCTTGATAATAATCTCTTCATAAAAGGAAAAACCTGCAATACAAGACCCAACTCAACCATAAAGAATGCATACCTGGTACACCTAGGGCCTTCAGATCTTGCGAGTGTGATCCCAAGGATGTGAAGGTAGAGTTAGGTGGCCCCCCCAAGTGTGAATCCAAGGCTGATGGGTAGGGAGGGAGAGAACCCCCATGTGTTGGGGGGCCTAGGTGTGAACCAGCACCTGGCACACCTCCTGAGGTTTCTGCATGGCGCTGTAGGACGTTGACAGCATCCTCCAGTCGTTCATCTATCCTTGACCCCTAATTTGGTAGAAAGATTAACAATTAAGATCTCTGAATTCCTGATAAAGGTTGATGTAGGTAAGAGGGGAAGGAAAGAGCAAAAAAGATGAAAAAAAAGAGAGAGAAAAAAAAGAGTGCGCAGAAAAATTACAGAAGTAATATCTTTTTGTTCTTATTTTGAATCTTTCTTTCCTAAATGCAACCAAATCAATAACCTTATTCAGTTCAGTCAAGAACAACATCAGGAATATTGATATATCTAAAGCAATAGCCTTGACAGTTGCAGTAAAAAAAAATATTGTATGATAAGCAGGAGTGAGCTAAAAGGAGAAATATCTGTTTTCTATCCTAATCTGCATAAAACACATGTAACTATAAATATAAATATCCATACCAACATAAATCTTATTGCAATATACATATACAAATACACAGTAATTCCTTGCCTTTGGGTAGCTGTGAACATATACATTGTAAGAGAAAAATATTTGCATCTCTGTACATCAATATGCACATACATAAGAAAGTGGATGCTTGTAAGTAGACCAGTAAGAGGAAGCGCAATAACATATCATATCATATACAAAGACAGGGAGTTAAATAAAATTTGCATTTGCATTAACACAAGATTAACACCAATGGCATAATATGTAAGCCATTCCTGCTTATCACACGAACTCACATAAATCAAAGCAGAAGTGAGAGTGCGTCATTTACCTCAATACCGTGATCTCGAAGGTAGTCGATTGCTGATTCTAAGTTCTCCTCTGGCATACGTGGCTACAGTGCAACAAAGAAGAAAAGAAGAAAAAAAATGTAAAACAACCATGCAAACTTAAGTGAAAAAGGTGAACTAGAAACATGCATACAGTATGTGGTGCAGATTTTTACAGACTAGTCAAATTGTTCATGCTATGTCAGTAAACAAGACAACATGCAGTGTTGTCATAAGGAGTGAAAAAAAAGAAAAAAAAAAAAGTACTGAATAAACTACTAGACTTTCTTTTTTTTTACTCTAATGTACTACTCTTTCCCATTCCAAAACTTAAAAAAAAAAGGTTGAAAAACATTGTCTTTCCTTATGAGTGATTCACATGACACCTAATTTTCTAAACAAGGAGCCAGGAAAGTGGACAAGTCAATCTTTCTCATACTGATTAACCCTATTACCAGTAACCCAAGATCTAAAATATATAAATAAAAATAAAATAAAGTAAATCATAATTCACCTACAACTACATTCCATCACTTTATGCATGACACTCACTTCTAAGATACATGATACAGATAAAGGACAAAAGATTAACAATGGCTCCTCTCTCTCGTATTACACATAACCCAGAGAACAGGTTGTAAACTCTAGAGCTAGAGAGACTACAGTCATGCAAGTAAGGTCTAATCAAGGGTGGGATGCTGGCAAGCTTGGTGCGCCTGTTGCAAAATATGCTATTAATCGAAAACACTGACAATGTGGCACAGCAATGTTTTCAAAACAGTACTGCTCCTAATTATCCGATGCACAAGACCAAAAACTGCCATGTTAATATATTGGTGGCAAAATACAAGTCTGGGAATGGAAGCTTACCATGGGAAGGGAACGTTCATAGTGAGGTGAGGTGGGTGTATGGGGCTGTGGCCACTGTTGTTGGGCCCCGCTAGGTGCCCCAGAGGTGAGAGGGGGCGGGGAGGTTGCTGATACTGGGGTGCCAGGATTACTGCTGTAGCTGCTCGGCGTCTGCTCTCCAGGGTAAATCTAACGGACATAATATTCCATCATGATGATAAAGCTCTCACTGATTTTTGTGACCTCCCCTAAAACTGAGTACCAACCCAAAAAATTATCAATTTCATTTATCAATACCAATATCATGTGAAAATAGTATTTACATGATATCAGATTAAAGTGTCCTGAAACTACATACTAGTCCTCAGCCAGAATATAATGACAGTTGACATATGACAAGATAACAAAGAATGGAATACATATGATTTTGTTTTCTTCATCTGCTACCTTTGTTTTCCCCTAAAAAGATCCTAACAGGAATGGGTGGAAAGGAGTACAGGTAGGACTTTATTTCTAATCATTCACTGTAAACGTCAATGCTTGGTAGATTACAATCATATACATGACATTCCTGCCTATTTATTTACAAGCCAATGTGTTGTGAATTTGTGCAGTAGTGCTTGAGCAAATAAAACAGTGCATCAGCTGTATAAACTTCAAACAATGACCACGCAGGTACTCACTGAGGACATCGCTTTGCCAATTGAATCTGCTGAGTTGCCTGTTGCTGTGGCCTGGGTGTGGTTAGGCACAGGGGAGTGTGTGTAAAGGGGGGAGGAGGTTGCCACAGAGCCACCACCAGTTGTGCTACTCGCACCAGGACCACGGAATGAAGACATGGGTGGCAATCCAGATGCCATGTGATCA